TAAATAAAAGGAAGCTAGCGTTGGACATTTGTCTCTGGCTCCCTTTTTCTGGCGATGATTGGGTTTGCCAACGAGGAGCGGAGCCCAAACCGGGGGGTAGAGCCATAAAATCTTGAAAGAGGTTAAATTTTCGTTCAAGCTTTTTCCGGCTGGAAAGACACGTGGAATGCTACATGAGAAATCTCCACTACAAAAAATTAAAATAATTAAAAAAAAGATTGCTTCGCCACGTGTTTAAAATTTATAGTAGCCGAAATTCCGAATTTAATTGCACGAATCTTGCAACTAGATATCCACGTGTTAAATTCGGCAGGTTTTAGCAAATCTGTATCATTCCCAACGTACAAAAGTGATGACGTATACCTTTTAGAATTTTCCGTCTATCCGAAGTGTTGAGAACACAATTCGGAGTTTCCCCATCTTAAAATAAGAAAGATTGAATTCATAAGATTAGAAAATATTTCTTTTAATTTTATAATCTATGACCTATTGAGCTTTCATATTTATAGAAAATAGTTTATCTTTTTATTAATATTTAGATGGTTAATTTTGAAAAATCACTTTTAGGGTCTTATACTATAGCATTCATCTATTTTTTTTTAAAAAAAATTACAATTTAAAAAATCACTTTTAAGTTTTCTTTTAGATGATTTTGAAATTTCAATGTGTTATTCCTTTAATTGAATTAAAAATTGAATTGTGAGTCAAAGACATGCTCCAACAATGAATATTTGAAATGTGAGTCGTGGACATACTCAAGTAATAAAAAGTTGAAAGTCTAAAAAACTCGATTGGATATTCCTCCTCCTCATCAACTACTTCTTTTGTTATGTATCTTAAAATTTTTTGACGAATTTTCAATTTTAATACAGAGAATCAAGTATTAACTTTGAAGTTTCAACGAGATTAATGGGTCTCTTTTCCCTAAAGGTTACCAATTTTGGTTAAAACTTTTTGTGTGTCAATATTTTGACATTCTGTCACTTGTATATAGCTCTTATTAGAAATCTATAAGCATTATGATCAAAACGGTTTACTTATTAGAAGGAAGTTCATCGTGTTCAACCAATGATCTTTTTGTTGGCTTTATGAATCTTTTTAATGGAAGTTTTAAAAGCATTCGAGTTTTTTGAGCAAGTGAATGGAAGAAGCAAATTCTTTAAACCTAGAATAATTTCATCTTCCTTCATTGTCAAGGACAATTTCTTTCCTTTTTGCTTTGTTGGTCCTACTTCATTAATTTTTTGATCATGTGTATGTTGTACTTCCTCTACGACATGCTTTCCAAATAAAACTTAGCATTAACAAAGCATGCCTTTGTTATAGTAAATGGCTTAAAGTCTACAACGTCTTTACTTGACCACTTCTAGAGTATTATAAGTATTGATGAAGTGTGGAAGAGACAACACCATTTTGAAACATCCATGGTTATCTTAATAATATGTTGTAAGTTGTCTTTGCATCAAATATAAGACAAAGAATTTAAATCCATGTCCTCAATGAAAAGTTGGAGCCTAACTTTTTCGAGAGCTTCCTTGATTGACTCTTGGATTATGAAGCAATTCTTGGATAGTTCATTCAAAAGAACTCCAAGCTCTTTCATTTTCTTTAAGGGAAGCATATTGATAGTTGATCAATCATTTATCAAGATTAGATTGATTTTTAATTCACAAATATGTCTTACAATAAAAAAAATCGATCGTGGAGAGTAAACCTTAATAATAAATCAAAAAAAAATTTTCTATAGTGCAAAAGAGATTAATTTGAACTTCATTTGTCTTCACTTAACATCTTCATTGACTTAGTAACAAGATGTGGGAACCAAACTTTCATTTTTGAATTGAATTGACTTCAATTCATTCAAAGTGATTAATTGTGTAGAGTTTTACA